TATATATACATGTAACTATAAATGTTAAAATGAATGCAATAAAGCATATTATGCAATAATTTGTTTTTTATAAATGTATTTATTTTATTATGCAAAACTTTTGTAAAAGTCAGCTAATTGTTTTCTAATATTTACTATAAATTTAATAAAACTTAAATAGAACTTTAGAAACAGCTGATTCTAGTTTTAACATCAGTTAAGCTCGGTTATCGATCAAAAAGAGCGATGAGGAGAGAATAGTAAAAAATAAGTTAAAAAAGGAAAGAATAAGAAAAAGAGAAGTAAGATGATAATTTAAATTAAAAAATTCAATATACGGATATAAAATATATAAATCTTACACAAACGTTCGCAGATATAAGACAAAAAGAAATGTTGGACCCAGTTTTATTTTGGTCAGTGACTGCTTTTGCGTAACGGAAAATGCGATTGGTCCATGGACGGCGTAGACGCATCGCGTCGCGACTCGTCGCGGTGCGCAGCGCTGAGCAAAGATAGTTGTGCCTAAAATGGCTCATGGTAACGTGATCCCTATCCAAATGCAAAAATACAATCCTGTGCTTGTAGCAGCATGTTACGTCTTTCGTCTTCTCCGTAACTCGCAAATCGTGAAATAAATGATGCTAAATGTCGCGATATCACATACAATAAGAGAAATGATTAATTTTGTAATTAGACAATTAATCCATAGACTTAATAAATTAATTAAGGAAAGTCTGTCTATACATACCAAATTTCATATTTAAATATGTGGAAAATATAAATGTAATATTTTATATGTACAAAACAATCAATCTAGTCTTTGTCTTTTGCACATAGAATTGAATTATTAAACTAAATTATTAAATCTTATTTCTGAAATGAAGAAGATAACCTATAGAAATATTTGTAAACATTATAAAAATTTCAATTAATATCCTTATCTTTTTATGTTATAATATTTAAATTTATCCTTTTATATTTTCTGTCATCATGTAAATTTTATTCAGCTACTGATTATCTTCTAAAACTTATTCGTTTATTGTTCGAGCAAAACTATACATGATCACATTTAAATCACTATGTGTGCACATCTTTCTTCCTCGTATAACTTCTGTCGTACTTTCCAATTAGGGTAGAACGAATCGAGGAAACGAACCGTTCACAAGCTGTTATTTTCTTGTCGCCGTTACGCGCGATGACGATGCCGCATTTTTTCATCAAATTATGTCTATATCGGGACGCATCGTAATTTAAATCAATTTACTCGTTAGCCTGAGAACGAACCATTGCGAAAATATATAGAAGTTATAATCCTTCCATTGGGGAGGGGGAATTGAATTTAATTCCTGATAAAATAGATTAATTTTCATGTTTAATATTATTTACATTCTAATTATACATATAGAAAGAAATTAATTTTCATTTATTTCTTTTATTTCTACAGTTCAAGGAGAGGTCGTTATGCAAACAACGCCAACGGTACCAGTGTAAGTATTACAACATTCATCAATTATAGTATTCAATAATATTTTTAATATAATTTCATTAAATTATTTACAGATTTACGGGTAAACCCGGGGATCCTTCACCACCGATTTTCGAGCGAATCTTCAAAAATGCGAGATTCGCGCAAGGTGGTAACGCGATTTTTGAAGGTTGTGTTCGAGGTAATCCGAGACCATCAGTTTCTTGGACACACAAAGGGATACCATTGTTAGAATCACGAAAGATCCGAATGTCTTATAATGAAAATTCTGGAATTGTCACACTTCAAATTAATCAGATCGGTCCGGGGGATGAGGGCGAGTACACATGCAGTGCAAAGAATCAATATGGTAGAGATTCTTTTTTTATGATTTCCACTTAGAATACATATTCTTTAAACATTCTGTTCTTCTGTTGGAATCAATGTTAGAAAACAAAACAAATAGAAAAAGCATATTACACGTTTCCTTCACTTTTTAGGCGAAGCTATTTGCTCAGTTTACATACAGCCAGAGGGATTTGGTCCTCCAGCGCAACAGTTAACAGATAGTTACAAGAAAGAATTTTCGCAAAGTTTTCAGACTAGCGATCAGAAAATGCAAAGTGGAAGTCAAATCTTTCAACAACGCAGTTATCAACAAACAACCGATAAACGAAGTTACGTTAATGGCACAACTACAAGCATTGAAGATTTTAAGGTATTACAGCTAAACACTTGATATGTGCTGTTTTGATAAAATAACAATACAAAAACGCTTAAAGTAATATTACTTACTTTTTAAATGTGCAGGTTGATACTTTTGAATACAGATTGTTGCGCGAATTGGAGTTCCGTGAATCAATTACTCGCCGTTTTGCGAATGAATCTGACTTGCAAATTTCTACGATAGTTGATCGTAATCTGGGTCCGATCGCACCTCCACAAATTACTCAGAAACCGAGAAACTCGAAGATCGTTGAAGGATCGGATGCTGTCTTTACCGCAAAGATAACTGGCAATCCGAAACCAAGAGTAAGTTGAAGTTACAT